CCCCCCGGCCCCCCAGTAACTGCTCTTTCTCTTTCCCTCTCCAGATGGACGGGACGGAAGGAAACGCCTCGCAGCCCTGCGCGGCGGAGCGGTCGCATCGCAGCAGCGTGTCCTCCGTGGGAGCCCGAGGTGGGTCCTTGGCCCCGTCGGCCCTCCGCACCCTCGCCCGGCCCCGGCCTGACCGCGCCGGCCAGCTTTCCATGAAAGTAGCCCTGTGTGCGAGCTGGCAAACAAGGTGTGCCAAGGGCTGAGGGCTTGGCGAGGTGACAGGCCGGCCGGCGCCAGGCCCTGCGCCCCCGGCCAGGCTGGTACTCTCCACTCTTCCTCGTTGGTAAAACGAGCGGCTCACACCGCGGTGACAAGTGGGACCTCATAAACGGACAGCGACACGGTCCCTGGCTTGGCGTGGTTTCTTTCACACACAGCAGTGGAAGGCATTGTCATCTTTTTATAGGAAGGAAATTGGGCCCCAGGGAAGTCAAGCCACTAGTCACGGAGTTCCCTGCACCGCAGCTTGCCCTGCCTGGAAGGTGGCGCTGAGTCCCGGCCTCCTCCTGGGCTCCGTCTCTCAAGAAAGCAGCTGTGGGCGCAGCCCTGACGGCCCGGCAGGCTTCACCTCCCCGGCTCACAACCGCTCTTTGCCGGAGGGTGCTTGTCCTGCTGCCTGGTCCGGCTGCCCGGAGAGGTGGGGCCTGGTGCTCACACCGACCTCACGTCTGATGGGGCCGGCTGGCCAGGGCCAGTGCTAGGCTGGGAGCCGGCGGGCAGGTCTCCAAACGCAGACTCCCAGGAGGGGACCCGCACTGGCCCTTTCTGAGGGTCTCTCCTTGGCTCTGGGCTCCAAATAGGGGCCACGCAGGCTGTCCCAAGGGGATATTTGCCATTGTAGTGCCTGTTCGAGACATGCTGACCTGTCTTCTTGTCGGGCCCCAGAGCATGAAGGTTCTAGGGAAGCTGGACCCTGGAACTTGCTTTCACCTGTGGCCATTGGGCTTCTCTGTGCCCCTCTTTTCCCTGAGTCAGAGGCAGCAGCTTGCCTAGGGCAACAGCCCCAGTCTGGTGTGCAGGCTGCTGTAGCCTCCCTCTGGTGCAGTCCCCACCTGTGGGGTGTCCCTCAGAAGCCCAGCAGGGTGCAGTGGCCCTGATTTAAACCTTCCGGGGGTAGGGGGTGCTGGACTGGGCCTGGGGTCAGCTATGAGTGTTAACACAGCATTCTTCACAGGCTCTTTCAGGGAGGCCGGGGTCCTGCCCCTGGGGTCACCCCAAGGAGCGGGGGGAGGGGGAGTGGTGCCTGGGCAGAGGGCCCAACTGACCCCAAAGGCCTCCCTAGCAGGGGCGGACGTGCTGGTGTACCTGGCAGATGACACTGTGCTGCCCCTGGCCGTGGAGCACCTGTCCTCACTCAGCGCCCACGAGCTGCACCGAGCTGTCCGCGAGGCCCTGCAGCTGCCAGACGTCGCCCTGGACGCCTTCGCGCTCTGGCTTGTCTCCCCTTTGCTGGGTGAGACCTGGGGGTTGGAAGGGTCTGACCAGCGGGGAGGAAGGGGCAGCTGTAGTTTCCAGAACCTCTGGCCACATCCAGTGGTGGACGGTGGGGCTGTGTCCTGAACTCTCCGTCCCTTGGAAGACCCAGAGCTGACAGGTTTCTTGGCCCCCCTCGCACCCCAACCCTGCCTGCCTTTGTGCTGGTGGCCGCGGCGGGTGCCCCTCGGCTCGCTGGTGCCGGAGTCTGGGCCATCAGGAGCAGGATGGCAGGGTGGGGTGAGCGCACGTCGCACGGGACTGTGAGTGAAGGGTCGGGCCAGGATCACAAGGGAAGCTGGGCCCCTCGGCCGGCCTGACTGACCTGTGTGCTGCCCGCTGCGGACAGGGCGGCGGTGGGCCGCGGCTCAGGAGGCAGCTGTCCCCAGGGTGCCGCTTCTCCACCAGCCTGCCTCCTGGCCAGCGGCCACCGTGTCCTGCGGGCTGACCAGTGACCGAGTGGGAGGGGAGTGGGAGTGGGGGCTGTGGCTCGACGGACTCTCAGGCCTGGGGCTGGGGTTCCGGGGCCCCTCGCCTGCGGGCTTGGACAGGAAGAGGGCCTGGTGGGTGCCCGGGGGGCGCGGGCGGCGGCCAGACGTGATCTGGGAGTGCGCGGGCCACCCCAGTGGAGGAGCAGCGACGAGGCGCCCTGAGCTGTTACCTCCTTACCCCAAGCCTCTGGGGTCTCCTGCCCCCCGGGGTGTCTAGCAGCCCTGGCCCCACCCCTATCCTCCTGGAGCTTCCTGCCCAGCTGCTGCTCGCGCTCACCCTCTTCCTGCTGCCCATCTCCCCTCGCCAGTCCTCTGCCCAGCTGTCCAGTCCTCTGCCCAGCTGTCTGTCCTTCACCCTCAGGGGCGGGGCCATCTGCCCCCCACCCAGAGCAGCGGGGGTGGCTGGTCCAGGGACCCGGCCGCTGTCGCTGCAGCTGTGCTGCGGTTTGTTGCTTCCTCCCACTTCCTCCACCCCCACGCCTTCCTCATCACATTCCTGCTCCCCCTTGCAGGGACAAGAATGGCTTGTCTGTGTGGCTCCAGTCACCCAGGCACCGCCCTGTCCAGGAGGGTGGCGAGAGCCCCAGCACGAAGTCAGCACCCACTTTGTTTCCAGGCCGGGTTCAGAAAGGCTGAAAGGTCACCTCAGCTCTGACTCAGGCCCCTTAGAGCCCTTGGCGCCCCCCCCGCCCCCACCCTGACTGGGTGAAGCGGCGACAGATGCCCGGAACTGTGAGGCAGGGCGGGCTGGCTGGCGGAGCCGTTCCTCGGCCGGAAGTTTTGGAAGGGCTTGGCCTCACTGCCACTCTCACTTGGAGGGCAGGGGCACGGGGCCAGGGCGGGTTCAGAAGGCAGGGAGCGCGGGCAGGACAGTGCCCTTCCCCACGCGGGGGTCCTCACCCAGGGCGGAGGCACAGGCCCAGGGCCTGCAGGGCCGGGCACGGCGGTGAGCGGCACAGGGCCACCCCGCCTGTGCGTCCCCGAGTGGCGGGGCGTAGACTGGTATCCATGGTGGTGACTGCTGCAGGAGCCACAGAGGATGGTGTGATTGGTGGGAGGGTCACAGGGAAGGGACCCTTGAAGTGAGACAGGAGCCAGCCACGCCGGGGGTGGCGGGGAGGGTGTCTGCAGGAGGGACTGCATGTGCAAAGGCCCCGAGGCAGAAGCAAGTGAGCGGAGCGCTCCAGTGGGGTGTGGCAGGAGCAGAGTGGAGGGGCAGCGAGGGCAGGGAATGGGGACCAGGTGGCAGGGTTCTGTGGGGCTTGGAGGTGAGGCAGGGTGGCAGCGGGGAGGGGAAGACCCAGGCTTTGCCAGGAGCAGGGAGAGCAGCCCCTTGGGGCGCTGGACCCTGTCCCAGCTGCGGAACCTGCTTCAGCAGTGGTGCTGCGACCCTCTGTCCCGCCGCCCCCGGCCCCTCCCGTCTCAGCCCGGCTGCGCCCCCCTGCCCTGGCCAGGCGGGGTGGGGGGCGGGCAGGCAGCCTCTGCCGGGACCCTGCGCCCCCTTGCTTGCTTATGACTGGGGACAGGGACTTCACCTGTGGGCGATGCGGGGATGGGGTTCTTGCGGGGGGTGCCCGCGGAGCCCTCGGCACAGTTCTGCTCAGCACCGCCGGTGAGAGTGAGCCTGGCTGCGTCGGCTGGCTCCTGCCGACGGCCGCCTCCCCTCCCCGCAGAGGTGCAGCTCAAGCCCAGACACCAGCCCTACAAGTTGGGCCGCCAGTGGCCAGAGCTGCTGCTGCGCTTCACTGATGCCCCGGACGACGATGTGGCCACGGGTGAGTGCTGCGCTGGCCACCTGCCCCTGGGCCTCCCCAGCAGGGGCTGCTGTCCGGCTGCGGGGCAGGCCCGGCCGCTCCTCCAGGCCCTAGCCACTCCTGCCGGGCGGGCGGCCACCAAGTCAAGATGAGCTGTGAACTGCACGCCCTCTGGGCGGCCCGTGGGGCTCCGTCGAGTGGGTCTGGGGGGCCCGGGGCTGGGCTGCCCGCCAGGCGGTGACCTGGCCCCTCTCCCCAGACGAGCCGTCCCTGCAGTTCCGGAGGAACGTGTTCTTCCCAAAGCGGCGGGAGCTGCAGGTGAGGCAGTGAGCCGGTGCCCGAGCCCCGGCCCGGGGCCCCGGACGCCCCGGCTCACCGGCCACCGCCCTGCCTGCAGCTCCACGACGAGGCGGTCCTGCGGCTGCTGTACGAGGAGGCCAAGGGCAATGTGCTGGCCGCGCGGTACCCCTGTGACGTGGAGGACTGCGAGGCCCTGGGCGCCCTGGTGTGCCGCGTGCAGCTCGGGCCCTACCAGCCCGGCCAGTCGGCCGCCTGCACCCTGAGGTGAGGGCCAGCGCGGCCCAAGGCAGGGCGTGGGCGCCCAGCCACAACTGGCACGTGGGGCTGGGGTCAGGTCTCGGCCGGCCCTGTGCTGTGCGACCTCGGGTGACCCCACCTACCTGTCTGAGCCTCCTCCACTGGGCCTGAGCACCTGGACTGAGACAGCCTGGCAGGGGAGGCCTGCAGGGGCCCCCAGATGTGCGTGAGCGAGAAGCCCAGCTCCCCTGAGGTCAGGAGGGTGCTGGGCTTTTTCTTTTGGTGGCAGCCGAGACTGACCACACGCTGGTCAGCGTACTCAGCAGTGACAGTCCAGCTGAGTCCCAGCATCGGGCGCGACCCCCCTCCTCCCGCCCTGCACGCCCTGACTCCACCGCAAGTTGGCCACGGGCCCCTGCTGGTGAGGCGGGGCCTCTCCCTGCACACACCAGAGTCCTCACACTCACCCTGTGACCCCGTGATCCAGGTCCCCCCAGAGGAGAGGGCACAGTAGCCAGGGCCCCTCGGCCGAGGCCCTGGCCCTGTGGGGCCCTCCCATGCTCCTGCAGACCCGGGGACAGAGTGGGAAAGGCCGGGTCTCCGAGTTACCAGAGAAGGGACGGAAGACGCAAATGCCCACGGAGGCCCTGAGGAAAGGGTGGCAGCCCGGAGAGCCGCTCGCGCCACGCTGTGGTCGGCCTCCCTGGGCCCGGGGGTGGCCTCCGGGCCTTGGCCATGACCCTCCCCCGGAGCTGGCTGTGGGATCTGGCCCTTGGGAAGCCCCTCGGAGACCCCTGCTCTCCAGCATCTGCCGCCTGCCTCTGTGGGACCCGGGGCTGGACATGAGCAGCTGCCCAGGGTCTGAGCACGCCCAGGCGCCTCCTGGGGGATGTGGGGTGCTGGCCCCCGGGGTGAGGGCAGGATGTCGTGCTGAGAATCCCCCTCGGTGTGTGTGATCAGAAGGGCTCTGAGGCTCAGCTGGCGGGTCCTTTGCGCCCTCAGCAGGGCAGCCTCGGGCGCCGGTCACCTGTGCCTGTTGTGCTAGCTAAGAACCAGCCGCCCCGCTGGCCAGCATGCTGCTGGGGTTCTAGCAGAGGGGGTCTTGGGGGTCTGTGTCCAGGGCTGGGGCCTCATCCCCCCACTACAGAGGAGGCCACTGTGTGCCTAAGCCCTGTGGGTCCCCAAGCCAGGCCAGAGCCTCCAAGCCCCCCACTCTTGGGCCAGCCACAACGCCCCCCCTCACCACGTGCCTGTCCTCTGCAGGGAGAAGCTGGACTCCTTCCTCCCCGCCCACCTCTGCAAGCGGGGCCAGGGGCTGCTGGCTGCCCTCCGGGGCCGCGGGGCCAGGCCCGTGCCGGGCGAGCAGGGTCTGCTGAACGCCTACCGCCAGGTGAAGGAGGCGCTGGGTGGCGAGCGCGAGGCCCCGCTCAGCACGCACCACCGCGCCTACCTCCTCAAGTGCCACGAGCTGCCCTTCTACGGGTGAGCCGCGCCCGCCGCGCGCCCGCTCAGGCTCCGCCTCCCTGCCAGCCCCGCTCGGCGCCCCAGTGTCCAGCCCCACGGTTCCGGGACACTTGCCTGCCCCACACCGGTCCCGTGGTCATGGGCCTGCTGGCCTTGCCGCCAGCTCCAGCGGGCAGCTCTGGGGACCCTCAGGCTGACCTCAGGCTGACACGCTCCCCCGGCTGGTGGGGCCTGTGAGGGTGCGCCGACACGTGGCGCTGGGTGGAGCTGGCGCAGGCGATGGTGAGGGCTCGGCCGGTGCGGGGAGCAGCGGCGGGGAGCGCGGTCGCTTTGGGGTCACACAGGCGATGAGTGAGGAGTGATACAGGCAGTGAGTGTGGTCAGTTTTGGAGTGAGGCAGTGAGCACAGTCATGTTTGGGGGGGCACAGGTGATGGTGTGGTCAGTTTGGGGGTGATGCAGAGTGATCAGGTTGGGGGTACAGACAACGCAGTCAGGTTTGGGGGATACTTGGTGGCAAGTGTGGTCAGCTTTGGGGTGATGCAGGCGGTGAGCGCAGACAGGTTCGGTGGGTGGTACAGGTGGGCAGTGTCGTCAGTTTGGGGGTGATGCAGGCGGTGAGTGTGATCAGGTTGCAGCGCTGCTGAGGGCTCAGTCTGGAGCCTGCCGTGACAGGCAGTAGAGGGGTGAGGGGAGGAGTCGGGGATCCCGGCTCCGCGAGGCGGCATCAGCTGGCCGGGCTGCCGGGGCGCAGGCGGGCCGGGGCTCGGGCCGCAAGGAGCCAGGTGGCAACTCTGGTGCATTCAGGTTTCCAAGGCTGGAGTTGGGTGCGGGGAGTGGGCCCGGTTGTCACCCAGGAGCCAGTGTGGACCAGTGGAGGGGGGACCCTGCCGGGAAGCGGGGGTCTCTGAGCCCACGTGGAGCCCGCGCTGCTCACCACGGTCACTTGCCGGTGCGGCTGGCTGTCAGCCGTGGCGCAGGCCCCAGGGAGGTGTGGGTGTGGCGAGAGAAGCCCTGGCGGTGGGGTTCACTAGCTCGGGTCAGGCGCCGTGCGGAGGGTGGCGTTTTACGATGAGCAGCGTGCATGAGCTGGGGTGGCCGGCAGGGCAGCGCTGAGCCTGTGGAGGCGCCAGGGTGGGGGACCCGCTGTGCAGCTCAGGGCCCAGATAGCCGGACCACCAGGCCGGCTTGGCCGGCAGGCGCCAGGCGGCCGTGCCCTGGAGGACGTGGCCAGGCAGGAGAGGGAGACAGCTCGGTGGCTGGCGCCCTGCTGCCCCTTCTCCGGGTCAAGCCCGAAGCTGCTTCGCGGGCAGCCCCCCGACTCCCTGGTGGGTCCCGGCTGGTTCAGCCTCGAGCTGCCTGCTGAAGTGGGCTGCGGGCCAGTGTGCCCCGAGTCCCAGCAGGTCCCTGAACGTCACTTGCTCTGTCCCCCGCCCCCGCCGCTGATGCCACCGCCTCCCTCTCCCCCCAGGGTTCCCCTCCCTGGGGAGGTTTCCATGGAACCTGTTACCTGAACTGTTTCAAGTTCCTGGGGTCTGGCCAGAGCTTTTGCTCGTGGGGGAGCCCCGACCCCCAGCCCTCTGTCCGTTCCTGGTGCTGGTGGGGGGTGACTGGCCCCTTCCCTCCCCAGGGCTGCCTTCTTCCATGGCGAAATTGACAAGCCAGCCCAGGGCTTTCTGCACCGGGGCAGGCGGAAGCCCGTGTCCGTGGCCATCAACCTGGAAGGCGTCCACGTCATCGACAGCAGGGAGAAGGTACCCCAGGGTGGAACGCGGGCTCTGTGGAGAGGAAGGCGGGGTGCCCTACCCAGCTTCCCCGGTCCCCTGCAACTCCCGCTGTCACCCCAGGGGGCTCCCCCCTGGGGTCTGTTCCACTCGGACCAGCGCTTATGCCCAGCCTTCCCGGCAGGGTGGTGGCCAGGCACGGGAGGCAGGGTGGGGTGAGCGCAGCCGAATGGAGAGACTGGAGGAGACCGTGACTGGAGACTACCTGTGGCCTCCGGAAAGGCCGGGGAGCCTCTGTGTCGGCTCCTCCCTTGACTGCCCGTGGGGAGGCGGCGCAGCCCCGCCCCCTGGGCAGCGGCCCCGCCCCCTGGGCAGCGGCCCCGCCTAAGCTCGCAGGGGGTCAGGGCGAGTTCGACCTCAGCACAGGCCTCTCTCCCGGCTCTTGCCCCATGTGGACCATCAGGGGCTTGACTCGCAGTGAAAACGGGCCCTGCCCCCCACACCCCCACCTGCTGCAAGCTCCTCCCCTGGTGCCCTGGTGGCAGCGGGGCGGGCAGCAGGCCTCTGCCTGAGGAGAAAGCCCAGACTCTGCCCTCCCAGCACGTGCTGCTGGGCCTGGGCTTCCAGGAGCTGTCCTGGGACCACACCTCGCCCGAGGAGGAGGAGTCCGTCCTGTGGCTGGAGTTCGACGGGCACAGCGAGGGCACGCCGGTCAACAAGCTGCTCAAGGTCT